ACTAAGTTACCAGAGCTCCTGAATACATAGGTAGACAGGCTAAATGATCAGATATGGCTAGGCAAAATGGAATATATCCATAACCATATATAAGTTTTGCAGATGATATTTCTATGTATGCATTTGCATGTACTATAAGAATGGCCATACATATAATAGAGGAAACAGGGAACAAAGTTATCCTTGAGGGAGTGAGTCATTGGGCCCATGGGCTTGGGACCATAATTGTGGGGACATCAAGCTCAATTGGCATAATATACTACACAAATACATTGTGCTATACCCTACTTTGGTGAGTAGTGACTGGGGTCTTCAAACCTTGGGAGCAGCCATTTAAGATGCAAGAATTGGTTTCTCCTAGTCCACAGAAAAAAGGAGTGAAGAAAATCAAAGATGCAAGGAAGCAACTAGTCCAAGGGACTAAGGGACCATGGGAACTTCAGCTTTCATGACCCCTGAGACCAGAACAACTATATGGTGCCCAGCTAGCAATGCCAACCACTCTGAAAGGGATCAGGAGATCCTGGATAGAGTGGGAGAAAAATGTAGAAGAAAACTCAAAATCATAAAAAAGACCAAGCTTACTGGTCTGATAGAAACTGGTGAGACCCCCAAGATTGTGGCGCTGGTGGTTAAGGCATTTGGCTGCTGACCAAAAGGTTGGTGGTTCAAACCTATCAGCTGCTCTGCAAAAGAAAGACGAGGTGGTATGCTTCTGTAAAGATTTACAGTCTTGGAAACCCAGTGGAGGTCACTATGAGTCAGAATCAACTCGATGGCAATGAGTTTGGAGGAGTGAGTTAGTCATCCTCCAGGCCTGGAATTGAATTCATTCCCAGGGCTTTACCTTCAGCCAAACAACAGACAAGCTTACAAAGTGAACAATTACACCAGTAGGTACACACTCCTTAGAACAATCAACTATGGGAGGTCAGAAGTGCAGCATTCACACAGCAAGATAGCTCAGAGGGTAGGAATGTATAGGAAAGGACACAGGGAAAAGTTAAACCATAGGGAGGAAGAGGGAAAAAGAGCTATTACAATCAATGTCATGAAACAAATTAATTATGTAAGAATTGTTGAATGGGAAAGGAATTTGCTCTGTAAACTTTTACTCAAATCATAATTTAAAAAAGGCAGGCAATGGTGGGACTGTAAAATGATACAACCACTGCGGAATGCAGTATGGTGATTCCTTAAAAAGCTGGAATTAGAAATACCATTTGAGCCAACCATTCCACTACTAGGTATATATCCTAAAGAAGTGAGAGCCAGGACAAGAACAGATATATGCACACCCATGTTCATTGCAGCACTATTTACAACAGCAAAAAGA